GTGGTGTATTTGAAACCAGCTGCACTTCCCAGAAATTTCATCCACTTGTTGGCTCTTGAGGGCCTTCCCCATTTCATTATTCTTCCTGGAGTTGATGTCCTGGGCATAACACCATCCAGGAGAACATGGGATCCTGGTATTGACTGAAGGATGCAGCAGAGCTGCCTGGAATTGGATGGGGCACAACCTGATGATGGGCTTTGCTGGAAGGCTTCTGAGGGTAGCCAGCAGTCAGGTCTAGGTCTTTGCATGCTCTGGAACAAGAAGAAGACTCAAGAGTGTCCAAAAGCTAGGAGCAGGAAGTAATGATCAGTTGTGGAACAACAGGGTGAGTGTAGCTTATCTTACTGGTCTGAGAATGTTGGTGGTTTTTACTTGGTTTGCAGGTCTGAGCAATTGCTTTATCTTGAGAAACCATTGCTTGGCTCATTAGGTTAAATGAGTCCCTTATGCAAGTGCCCATAAGGGTACCAGTAAGGGATTGCATCTAAAGAGCTAAGAATGGCTCCCTTGGCTATGTCCTTATGGTGTGCTGGGAGGAAGGCTGAGATACCAACCTAGGCTCTCTAAAGTGTGTCTCTTGAGTGAGGGCTTGTGTGGTTGAGAAAAGGATTGTGTGTAAAAAGGAATGTTTTTGAAAAAGAATGAAAGAGTTGAGAAAAAGGGAAAAGAAAGATGAAGAAAAGAAATGCTGCTATCTATGGGGCTGGTTTGGTGTGCATTACATGTCAAATCACATAGCTCACATGTTTATCTAAAATACACACTTACACGCATTCATGTATATATACAAAGCACGTTAGACAAAAACAGTATGTTATAAGGCGTCCCACTATACATATATACAATGTTATTGATTACAAGCAATCTACATATAAGTGTCAATACTTGTTATGTGATCACCCACCGTTACCCATGATGTACAAAATAAAGATCCTAATTCTATTGTCTCCCCAGAATTTATTTACCCCATAAAAAGCAAGAGCCTTCCTCCTAACTACTTACAATCTTTTCCTCAGAATCTAAATTTCGCTATTTGAATAATATTGTTATATGATTTACGACCCTCCTGAATTTATATGACAAAAGTTTGGTTATGCAATGATATTAAGCACATAAATTTAATTGTTAAATCATGCACAAGACTAACATGTGGAATAATACATATATGTGCTTTGTGATTCCATGGGACTAGCGATTATTTAAGACTTGAAATAGGCCCACATGCCTTCACACTCTATGCCTATAGACTTAAGAAATTGCATATTTAGCATAATTACGATTGAACACATATAGGCACGCCAACTTGCAGGTTTCGCATATAACATAAATAGCTAATTATCATACATGTTAGGCTTGTTATTTCGTAACTGTGAATATTTGGTATAACTGCTAAAGCACAAAGATTAGGCATAGGTCCGACATATATGGCATCTAGGATCACAACATGCTACACTACATAATTAAACACCTGCATCCATTCATAAATGAGGTTCGCCTGTGTTGATATATGTGCATATATACTTTATAATAATTATGTGACTATCCGAATCTGCACCGCATAATATTTTCCTCTCATTTAGGTACATAAATAATTACATGATCAGCCCAACTTGCGATCCTATATGTTAAATCATTATAAAATAATTAATTAAAGAATATTCCATGTGTAAGACTCCTATGTTATGTATTAGTCACCCGTAAAACTTACATATTGTATGTTGCATATTCATGACCTTGTTATTTGATGCATTTTAGTTAGGCTCAAACCCAGTGAATTTATATGTGTATGTGTATATATTTCCCATATAATACTTTCCTTATGAACTACTATACTAATTCGGGCTCTTTACCCCAAAATGATTTCTAAGCTTCGGGGACGAAGCTTCTTGTAAGGGGGGGAGAGTGTAACACCCCGTGTTACGGCCCTTAATCCCGAATTAATTATTTAATTAATTCCATTAATAATAATTAAAAAGGATTTAATTTGATTAGAAATCCCTTTAATTAATTAAACGTGGTCCACCACGGATCATGGACCCTTGCCTAAACTAGAGTCATAAGCCTATTAGGAATAAAGAAAGTATACCTTTACTATTCAGATTATGGTTAGGATTCTCTTTAATTAATTAATATGGTCCACCATGGTCCATGGGCCCTTATCCCTAAAGCCAACCCCTTAGTTCTATAAGGAATAGAATTAGTAAACCCATGCCACTTAGACCATAATTAGGACTCTTAATTATATAAATAGGGACATAGAAGGCACCTAGAACACACACCACAAATAATCCCTCACCACACAAGAAAGTTCCAAGAACTCCCGTAGTAGAAATCAAGAAAGGAGAAATCTTAAAGAAAGACCCTTCATAGCCAAGGAAATTAATTAAGGCTAAGAGGTAACCCATGTCTCAACAAAACCTATTTTCTTCGCTATAATCTCTTTCCTTGGCCTCCCTCTATATTCTTGTGTCTTGATTGATTTCTTCTATGATAATTATGATTGATAAGATGATTTATATGCTTTTTTGGGAATCTTGATGACCTTGATGTTAAAAAGAAGTTCTTGATTATGATATGATGATTCTTGACGAATCTTGATATTTTCTTGATGTTAAGAATAAAATATATTATTGATGATTTGGGTGGGATTAGAGCCCTAGGTTGGATTGGGAATTTGTATTGAGGATGTTCTTGATTTATATTTGGGTGGGAATTCGCATGTTCGGGTGTTGTTTATATTTAGCAGTCATAATAGGATAAGTCCTACATGATTATTGCTTTTGATCCATTAATTGCTTATGTGATGTCGTTATTTGCGTTTAAAAGTGTCTAAGCATGGTTTCGGGTTCCACAAAGGATCCCGGGATGAATTTGTGATGAATGAGTCAGTGGGGGGTAGGTGGGGGTGGGGGAACCCACCACCTACCCGCTGCCCAAAGAGGCGCTGCCCGGCAGCGGGCAGCTACCGGGCAGCCGGCGGGTGACCCCCACCCACCGGCTACCCGCTGGTCCACACCCCCACCCCGGGTCCCCGGCTTTCCCGTTTGATGTTCCCCGTTCCCCATGGTGTCCTAACGGACCCCGTTTGTCGTGCCTGAGTCTAGTCTGGAATTTCGGGTACCATTCGTAGGTTAAACAAGTCTTAGGAATTGCATGCTAGTTGAATTGGTAACCCGTGGACCTAGGTGGAAGTTATATGAGCCCTTAGGAACTATTCTTAGAATGTGAATGATCACATGTAAGCTTAATTATATGTTCCCCCTTCCCTATGTGAACAATGTGTCATTATGTGCTATTGTGTGTTACGTGATGCATGACCCCAACTTGGTTAAGACCAATTGGGCTATACAGGCAGTTGAATGGGCTGAGAACCATCCCAACTGTTAACTAGGCCGGTTAAGATCGGTCAGGGATATTGATATGATATAGGACTGAGGTCCACTATACGGGCAGTTGAATGGGTTGAGAACCATCCCAACTGTTAACCAGGCTGGTAGAGACCGGTCTGGTATATAAAGATTATGTATAGGACTGAAGGTCCACATGGGCCTCGGAGATATGACCCACCGACCGGGATGCGCCAGGCGGTATGGGGCCAACAAGCCGAGGAAGGTTGTAGTCCACCGACCTGAGTAATCAGGCGGTGTGTAGGGCTACGACTGGCTGCGATCCACCGAGTGGTGGGACATCGGTATGCAGGACCATAGTCTCCGAGGATCTTTGCCCACCGACTGAGTTTAGCTCAGCGGTGTGTCGGGCTTGATCCGCTACGGCCCGCCGATTGTGCGCACCAACGGTGTGTAGGGTCGTAAGTCCCCCCTTGTAAAGGGGATCACGGTCCACCGACTGGGCGCGTCAGCGGTGTGTCGGATCGTGGTCCGACGTTGAGTTCGTCAGCGGTTCTCCAAGGGTTGGTTGTGATCAACTGCCCTAGTACTGCGGTACTGAGGTAGGGTGCTGCGGGGCCGTGTTAATGCTATAGGCATTAACCCTCATGTTCGGGGCATGCGATTGGTCCCGTGGCGCCATCGATGATTATGTGATATAAATGATGATTGAATGATGATGTGTTTGAATTGAAAAGTGATCTGTGACCTTAGATGCGTATTCCTTATGATGTTATCTCTACTTAACCATTTATCATTGATTAATGTGCTTGTCCCCATTTGCTGAGTCTATTCCCGGTTTTAAAGTTAGAGTCTCCTAAGCATATATCTTCCTGCTTCAAAATGGTTTTCCTATATCTATATAGAGGTGACCACGGTTCCGGTTCAAACCGGAACCGTAACCGGAACCGTCACTGTGCTAACCGGAACCGAACCGGAACCGTCCGTACGGTTCCGGTTCTGGTTCTTAACCGGAACCTATAAGGTTCCGGTTAAGGTTCCTATAATATTGGAACCGGAACCGCCAGTTCCGGTTCGGAACCGGACGGTTCCGGTTCCAAACCGTGAAATCCCAAAAAAAAAAAAAAAAAAAAAAAAAAAAAGAAGAGGAGAAATTCCGGTTAGAACCGCCGGTTCTAACCGGAACCGGCGGTTCAAGAACCGGAACCGGAACCTTATATTAAGGTTCCGGTTCCGGTTCGCCCATTTTCGGAACCGGCAGTTCCGAACCGGAACCGAACCAGAACCGGAACCGTGGTCATGCCTATATCTATATCTATATATATACCTATATTGTATTTCAATGCGTTGGAGTGGGTTACCAGCATCTCTCGCTGAACAGATATATTTGGCTTTCAGGCACAGAGGAGTAGACACTGGAGCGCGCTAGAGATTTGGAGCGTAGAGTAGATAGTTTCCCTTTCGGCCTGCGTGCCATGCTCATGTATTTACATTATTGAGGATATTAGTTAGTTAGCCTGTGCACATGAGTTCTCTAGCTCAGGTGTGGCATAGCACCCCGTACTCTATTATATTATGTTTTGGGATTTAATGAGAATTTACCTTTATTTTATAAGTCTTAAAAGTTTCAAAATTTCGGGGTGTTACAAGATGAATGAGAATGAAATGAGCCAAGAAAAATGGGCTTTAATTGGGGACTTTAATTGTATCCTAAAGAGTGATGAAAAAAGAGGAGGGCAGGCCTATAATATGTGGAAAAGCAGAGATTTCCGGCAGTGCATTGATACAATCAACATGAGGGAAGTGGTATTCTATGGAAACCCTTATACATGGTGGAATGGAAGGAGAGGATCACAAGCTGTATGGAAAAGATTGGATAGAGGATTTGCTAATGAAAAATGGGAGGAGAGCTTCAAAACACATGTACATCACTATGCAAAGGCATCATCAGACCATGCTCCTCTCATATTGGATCTTGAACCAGTAATCAGAATAGGAGGAAAGCCATTCACTTTTATCAATTCATGGGGGGAACATGAGCAATTCCTGGGGGTTGTGAGAGAAGCCCGGAGAGAGGGTGTGAGTGGAAATGAAATGTACACTTTTGTTACAAAATTGAAAAGAGTGAAAGAAGTATTGAAAAAATGGAATTGGGAGGTTTTTGGTAACATATTTGAGAAGGTGAGGGAGTTAGAGGGGATGGTGAGGGAGGTGGAAGAAAAATTGCAAGAAGAACCAACAGATGAGAGAGTGATGGAATTTAAGTTATTGCAAGCAAGATTGCAGAAACAAATAAGAATAGAGGATAAGTTCTGGCAACAAAAAGCTCACTCACAATGGGTTGTGGAGGGGGAGAGAAATTCAAAATATTTTCAGGGTTTGGTGAGGGAGAGAAGGGTTAAACAAGTGATACACAAAATAAAGAGGGCAGAGGGAGTGTGGGAGGAGGATCAAAACCAGATTGCAGCAATAGCTGTGGAATACTTCTAACAGCTATATACTGCAGAACCAATTAACTTTGAGCCATGTGTGTTTGACTGTTTGCAGGTGATGGTTACAGAAGAGGAAAATCATGCACTTACAGCAGAGCCAACCCTTGAAGAAATCAGGTCCAGTGTCTTTAGCATGAATGCTAATAGTGCACCTGGACCTGATGGATTTGGGGGTGGCTTTTATCAGCTCTGTTGGGATATTATCAAGGAGGATCTGCACAAAATGGTAAGTAGCTTCTTTGCTGGTAAGAGCCTCACTAGGCCAATTACCAGCACTACAATTGTTTTAATTCCAAAGATCCCAAACCCTGCCACCTTTAATGAATTTAGGCCAATCAGCCTAAGCAATTTTTGCAGTAAAATCATAACCAAAATCTTGGTGCAAAGGTTAGCAGGGATCTTAGCAAGAATAATATCCCCAGTCCAAGCTGGATTTGTGAAGGGTAGAAGTATAATTGATAACATTTTACTTGCCCAGGAGATATGCCATGGAATGAAAGCCTCAAATGAGGATATGATCTTAAAATTGGACATGACAAAAGCATATGACAGAATGGACTGGGGATGCATCACTAATGTGCTTAGGAGACTTGGCTTCTGTCAAAAATGGATAGAACTGGTCTCTAACACAATTAACAATATTTGGTATTCTGTTGTTGTTAATGGGGAATCAAAGGGTTTCTTTCACTCATCCAGGGGATTGAGGCAAGGAGACCCTTTATCTCCAAGTTTGTTTATTTTAGCTGCAGAGCTGTTCTCTAGGTTGTTGAGCCAAAGGAGGTCTCTCTTCACACAACCAGTGGGGGGCCCAGGAATAAACCACTTAGCCTTTGCAGATGATATGGTGATCTTTACATCAGGGAAGAATGGAGGAATTCAGGATATAATGGAGGTTTTGGAGACATATGAAAAGCAATCTAGGCAACTTATAAACAAAAATAAAAGTGCTTTCTATGTCCACCCAAGAGCCCTTGGTGAAAACATTGAAAGAACGAGGGATATTACAGGCTGTCAGCATAAGAACTTCCCATTCACTTACTTGGGATGCCCCATTTACCAAGGCAGAAAGAGGGCAGAGATGTTTGATGGCCTAGTGGAGAGGATAGCTGAGAGATGTAAGGGTTGGCATGCAAGGGTCCTATCACAGGGTGGAAAAGCTGTTTTCATTAAAACTGTTCTTCAGGCCATGCCAACACATATATGCTATGCAATAAACCCCCCTAAGGCCATAATAAAGCAAATAGAGAAACTCTTCTCTGATTTTTTCTGGGGTAAGAGGGAAGATAGAAATAAGCACCATTGGGGATCATGGAAAACCTTGGCCAGGCCAACAAAGGAAGGAGGGGTGGGATTCTTTAGAATGCAGGAACTGGTGGATGCAGCTAGTGCAAAACTATGGTGGAACTTTAGGAAAGGGGGTACAATTTGGTGTGATTTCATGATGACTAAGTACTGTAGAGACACACATCCTGTGGTTAGAGGTTGGCAGTATAAGGATTCACACATATGGAGAAGAATGATTCAAGTAAGAGATAGGGTGGAACCTCAGATAACCTGGAGAGTGGGAAGGGGAGAGTTGAATGTATGGTGGGATAATTGGTCAGGAAGGGGGGCCCTGGCAAGTGTTATGAACCTGAGAGGGAAAAGGAAGGCAAAGGAGAAGGTCAAAGATGCAGTGGTGGATAATAGAGTGAATCTGCAAAGGCTAAGTGGTCAAGCTATGGGGCAAGTGCAGGACTGGAATATAGCAATGCAGCTGACAGAGAGGGAAGATAAGGCAATTTGGAGACCTACTGGGAAGGAGTTTAACTTTAGAACAACAAAGGATCTAATGAGGGAGCTTAGTACACATCATGTGGGTTGGTGGTGCAAAAAGATATGGGCAAAAGGAGTGCCTTGGAAAATGTCATTTCTTGGCTGGAGGGTGTTTATGAGAAAACTGCCAACTGATGATGTTTTAAGAAGGATGGGATACCAATTTTCTTCCAGATGCTCTTGCTGTATACACCCTGGATGTGATGATCTGCAACACATATTTGGAACTGGGGGTACTGCTAGGCATGTCTGGGATTACTTTGCAAAATCCATGGGAATGAGAGTTAGTGTGAGATCTGAAAGACATATTTGTTATGAGTGGTAGAAATTCAAATGGAAGAACACTACAAGAAAAATCACGATTCGCGATGGACAAATTCTGTAGCGAAAACGCGAAATTCCGTCACAAATCGCGTTTTGCGACAAAATTTTTCATTTTCGCGACAGAATCCATTCCGTAGTCTCAAGGCTTGTCGTATTTCATTTCGTGATGGAAATAATCCATCGCGAGCGATTGCGACGGAAAATGGTGACAGAATAAGTTGGCAACAGAAGTCATTCCGTCGCGAGTACGTCGCGATTTTGACAACGGAAATGTTTTTTTCTGTCGCCATTGCGTGAAAAAATATTCCATCGCAAAACTCATATTCCATTACATATTTCTGTCGTGAAATATAACGACGAAAATGATTATTGTCGCGAATCCGTCACTAACCTTTCCGTTGCAAATTTTGTATTCCGTCATAAAATTTCATCGTAAAAAAGCGACCAAACAAATTTTCGTCGCAAACTTTTCCGTTGCAAATTTCATCTTCCGTCGCACAAATTCGTCGTAAGAAAATGACGGAACAAATTTCCGTAGTAATTTCATCGCTAAAATTATATTTCATCACAATTCTGCTAAATTATTATTTTTTAAATATTTTTGTAATTATTACTATTTTATTAAAATTCTAATATTTGTATTTAAAATGTTAATATGCAAACTAAAATACAATATAATTAGTAATATAAAAGTGATACTACTTTATAGTTCAAGAAAAATTAAATGTTGTACTTAATACCAAATTCATGTCTAAACAACAATATAGTAGAAAAATCAAATCAAGGTGACTTTGGTCGTGATGAGGGTGATGATGAAGTACCAGCTCTCTCACTCTCAAGACAATTTAATCTTTGCTACATAAGAACCATAGAAGCCTTCAATTTCTCAATCTCATCATGGATCATTAAAGAAATAGCATTCTCTGATGGCTGCGAGGTTGATGTTATATTGTCCAATGTGTTAGCATTTATTGGACTACGAATGAACGTACCATGAGCCAAGTCCATAAACTCATCTTTTCTTATCATGCCCGCCAACTGCATCATAATACAATTGACTCTCATCTACTTCTTCTCCATGTTGTGTTAATACCTCCCGTTGCAATGCAATTTGTTCCAGCAAAAATTTTAAAATTTAGTACAATTTTTATAAAAATTCATATATATTCAAGGAAAATCAAGATAAATAAACTTACATGGATTTGTTTGTCTTTTTCAACTATAAATGTTTGGCCATAATATTTTTTGGTATATGTATGCTTGAACAATTCAAAATATGATGGACGACGACCGAATTACTTTTCCTAAAAATTAGTTAAAATAGAAACAAAATAAATTAAAAATTAAAACAAATAAGCATATAATATATAATATATCATAACCATATTTCAAACATCACTCAATAAGAAAAATATTATATAATCGCACTGTTTTTATCATAATAGTGCCAATAAAATATTTTATCACCATAACAATACATAATTATTATTTTAAAACGAACAAAATTAAAAAAAATAATCAGCAGAGTTTCCTTTATGAACAGAACTATCTCCCTACTTAATATATAACACAAACCTCTCAAACATGAACTCAATAGCTAGACACAATAAAATTAAATCACAATGATTTTTCATAATAGTGTCAATAAAAATTTCTACCAACACAGTAACACATAATTATTATATAAAACAAACGAAATTCCGATAAAAAAAATTCAACATAGTTTGAACTATCTCCCTACTTAATATATAATATAAACTCTATCATCAATTCAATAGGCACAATAAAATAAAATCACAATAAGTTCATCACAATAATATCAATAAAAGTTTCTACTAACACAATAACGCATAATTCAAACAATCCAAACATAATCACTTATAACTTAAACAATTCGAATGAACTTACAAGTTCAATGGCAATATTGGAATGAGGGGTTGATCATGTGGTATGCGTAGATTGGGCAACTCCATCTAAACACCCGCATGTCTATTTCTCTTAGCAAATTCTGATTTTTTCTTACTATCTTTAGAATTCCAAACATCATTCCACTTAGCCCATATTTCTTCGTTGATATAGGGAGATCTTGACTTGTTCTTCATTCTGTTTCGCATATCTTGTTTTTGCCTTCACTTCCCAAGCACTATACACTAAATTTGTTTTAGCAACACTCCAATCAAAATATTTCTGCAATACACAATATAAATAATATTAAGCATCAAAAGTTAGACATGTAAACAAAAGAATTTTTAGATATTAAAATATTACTTTGAACTCTTCCCAATAAAACTTAATTGTATCATCACTAAGTTGCGCTCATGCATAGCCACTGGGATCTGTTCGTTCCTGGAATAGCTTAGTAATCTTTCTAGCGCAAACATCAGAATGAGTCAACCTATAATAAAAGAAATTCATAGTTTAAAAGAAGTAATATATATTCAATTTTGAAATCTCATTTTACTTTAATTAACTTACATGCATCTTGCCTTGAACATCAATCGCTAAGCGTCTGTTATGTGTTATATTATCAACCCGATGATTTTATTGCTCCGCAACATCCTCCCCTACTCTTTGACCATTAGTATCTATGGATGGCATGGTTGGTATGGAAGAAGATAATGGTGTCAATGTTGATATTGTGATTGATTCTGATTCTAATGCAGGAAGAGTTGATGCTAATATAATGCAGGGGCTGATATGATGTTGATGCAGGGGTTGAGGTTGATGCAGGGGTTGAGGTTGATGTAGGGGTTGATGTTGACGCAGGGGTTGATGTTGATGCAGGGGTTGAGTTCTCCTTTGATGCATCCAACTTCTATCCATAATACTTATATGTAAAGAGCTACACATATACATTCA